GGGAAGCTTTAAAAACATTATACCAGACTTCTAGTTTGTAATAAAAGCTATAAAATATTCCTTTAGAGTTGTGGTTCAAGATGGAACAGCTCCTAAAGAGTAATTTTATCCATTTAAATGACAAACACTGGGTATCTGAATTCTAGAGGTTACTAAAAGATTTTGGCATTGTAATTTATCATATCACTTTGTTATATCTCCAATGAATGATTTATGCTGAATGATATCTCATAATTGAACTTCCTGTTCAAATGGAATTAAATTTACTGTACATTAACACAAACTTTGGTAACGAGACATTGATGTTCATCTGAAACAGCATCAACTAATTGAAATTACATTATAGTAGTAAGATTGATTCCAGTGAGTCTCAACTAAGTGGGTACTTCTACTATTTAATCTGATAGTTTTTAATTTTTAAAATTGATCTTGCCATTGAAAACCCAAGTTAAAAGCATAAATTGTTATAACTTACATGTTAAAGGGAATCTTCACAGCTAAAAATAACATGCAATATAAAAATTTTTATTTGAAAGGTTAAACATTTAAAGGCATTTTTATAAAATGGTTTAAATATAAATATTCATATTGGTGTGGCTAGACGAATATTAACTTTATTTGCAGCCTTGGGCTATGTAAAGGCTTTAGCTAAAAAACCACAGCGAAGTGGACCATTTGGCAATTATCCTGTAAGTCAAGGGTTCCCGATGAACACCTAGAAGGCCCTGGCAGAAAATCGAAATGAGTGAAGCAAGAAGGGTCTGAGTCCACTTGCATACCTTATGAGTAAAGAGGATTCAACTTCACAGGAGAGCTTATAGCTTCTTAGAAATGTGGCATTACTACTTAGCTCCCACCAAGTGCTTGTATGCGATAAAGCAGGTTCAATGTTGAGAAATCTGACTTTTTTCAGGGGAGGTCTGAAATGAGGAATTTTACATGAAATTTCCTGATTTTTAAATGCTAGCCGAAATGCTTTTAGAATGCTGTTTTGGGGTCTGCCAACAAAATATCCACTAGTTCCTAAGGGGTATAAAGAAGTGACAAATGTTTTGGCAAAAACAGAGAACTGGGGCCAATACAACATCAACACCAGGAAGGCCTCTAGGGATGGCATCTTGAATGGGTGAGATGCTTTCTGCCACCTTGCTGCTTTCTGGAAATTTCCCCCAAAACACAAGTCAGCTTTAATTAAATAAGGGCTCATTGGGAATAGAGTACAGTAGTAGTGGAAAGGAAAGACCTCTGCTGCCAAGCACCTCTTGGATTAGGAGGAATAAGAGCAAGTTTTCAAACCAAATTTCTTAATATCTGAATATTCCTGGGCATTTGTGGAATCACCAAGCACATGTAAAAAGTTTATATAATTTGGCCATGATAAACTCATTATTTTTTCTCCTATGTCAGGAGATAAGACTTGCCAATTTGTTCAGTAAACATTTATTGAGCACTTACTATATGCCATGCACTGATAGGGACTGGAGATGATATGCTTATAATCTACTGGGAAAAAAAGGCAAGTAAACAGTTTATTAAAGTGCAGGGTGGAGAGACATTATGAGGGTTATGAAACTGTGAATAGCAATGATGAGCTATGTCCAAAATATCTAATCCGCAGAGGGGAAATCACAGTATGTTTCCTGGAAGAAGTAGCATTTATAGATCAGATAGAACTTACAATCCATATCTAGGGCTTACTCTATGCCAGGCACTATTCTAAGAGCTTTATCCTTATTAATTCGTGTAAATCCCCACAACAACCTTAAAGGTATGCGTACTTCATATTACCTGCATTTTATAGATGAAGAAAATGAAACAGGAACTTTGCACAGGATCACAAAACTAGTAAGTGTCGGAATCCAGATTCTATGTTCTTAACCCCTACATACTATTTACATGTTATATATGTAATAAAATATAGAGTAATTAGAACATATTACAAGTAATTTTGACTTGATGATCTCACTGGGTTGGCATATGGGCCTGAGGAGAACACCATGGAAACAAATGCCCTATCTGGTTCTTACTGTTTAGCATTGCTTCAATTTTTTTCTAGATTTACCCATATTCAAAAGGAAAGTTCTAGATATGCTATGACTGTTTTGCTGTTTAAAATTTAGCATAACATGAGCTGAAGTCACCTAGAGTAGTCACTAATATGATTTCTTCATATTAACTTTCTTGTCTACATCTTTTTTTTTTTTTTTTTTTGAGACAGAGTTTTGCTCTTGTTGCCCAGGCTGGAGAGCAATGGTGCGATCTTGGCTCACTGCAACCTCTGCCTACCGGGTTCAAGTGATTCTCCTGCCTCAGCCTTCTGAGCAGCTGAGATTACAGGCATACACCACCATGCCTGGCTAATTTTTGTATTTTTTAGGAGAGACAGGGTTTCTCCATGTTGGTCAGGCTGGTCTTGAACTCCTGACCTCCGCCAGCCTTGGCCTCCCAAAGTGCTGGGGTTACAGGCATAAGCCACTGTACCTGGCCTCTCCTTTTTTTATTTTAATTGAGCCATTTTCCCAGGGTAGAAACATGAGGAAGACAGATGAATTGAAGAGGGTTAGGAAACATTGTTCCACGTTACCTATTACAGCTCCTTTCTTTATAGTTTAAATACTAAATTGTTTATGTCATTACATACCCGGCACTGTTAACACATAACACATATTCATCTGAAAAACTCATTTATCAAATATGAAAGATCTTTCAGTCAAGTTCACTTCCTATCTCATCAAGATACTTGTGTGGTTTACTTATAATAGATAATATTTAATTTTCAAATATTGGATTTCCATGAATGTACATTGTGTGTGTGGGTTATAGCCACATACATAATGCTCAGATTTTGATGAAATATCTAGACTTCAGAGTTAGTTAACTGACAAGGGTGACTGAACTCACAAAAGCAAGGCAGTGACAAATATGATTTATTAGCTACACACTGAATAGTGTATTTGTCTCATATGGGCTTTAACTCTTAGAAACCACCTAATACTGAACTCTGAACAATCTTACATGAATAAGGAAATCAATACCTAAACACAAAAGGATGAATACAATTTTATTTGTAAGGTTTCCCTAAATATCTTAAATGGTTTAACTCCAATAACTGGAGTATTCCCATTTAATGTTCAAGCGTTTATGGATATTTAATATTAAATGAATTTTTAAAATTTCTACTACAAACAGAAACCATCCATTTATTCCATAATCCAGCTCATTTTTATTACAGGGCTGCCAATCTCCAAATTTATGTTTAATTCCCATTCTTACTTATGTCTACAAGAATGGCAAGCCCAGTGGATCTGCCTACTGAAAGAAATGGTCAGCAGGTACTCAATGCTGGCATTTTCCATTCTCTTAGCTCATGGCCCTGTCTCTTCTTATTGAAGTTACTTATGATTACCATGCTCTCTAAATACTTTCCATTCTCAACTATTCTCTCTTATTGGAACCTCCTTGGTTCTCTTCAGCAACACTAGATCACTTAGTTTGTCTGTTCACTTCACGCAGCTGCCCTTAATGCTGCTTGTTGTCTTCCAGGAGCACTCCTCTCCCATTCTCCAACTGGTCAATGCTTCCTGTCTTTCAAGGCCAAGCTCAGGCACTCACTTCTTCAGAGGGCCTTCTCTGACCACTCTCCTTTTATTCTGTAGTTCATTCTGATTCTTGCTCTCACAGAATGTACCACACTCTACGGAAAAGGTCTGTTTACATATATGTCTTAGCTCATCTGACTATAAGTTTCTGATGTTGCTTCACAACCATTTCTCCACCACTCCCCCAACCAGTCCTAACTAACCCTAATCTAGATAATTGCAAATAGCTTCCTCACTTCCAACTTCTACCCGCTCCAAATCATTGCAAGTATTACTATCAGATTAATCTTCCTGAAACACAGAAGTGGCTGTGTGGTCCTTTCCTAGCCCAAAAGCTTTAATGGCTTCCTTTTCTCTACCACGGTAGTTCTCAAAGAGTGGAGCATATACCATTTGTGAAATGATTTTAGATGGTATATGGGTGTGGCATTAAATAACTCTGGATCCCGGAATAAAAATGTCCCTTTATCAGTTTTCCTTCAGTCCTAACTGTGACAGAGAGAATGCTCGAACATGTATCTAATCCTTGATAAACTCTTTTTAACAAACAGCAGCACTCAGGACAGAACCTTAAACTAGAAACAATTCCTAGTTATAGTTTAAAATATCGTTTTGTTTTCAGTATGTTTATTTTCATGTTGTATTTTTGGAAAATTACACTGGTTTTCCACTTATAAAACTAATATAAAGTTTTCTTTTAAAAATAAATTTAAGAAAAAAAAAGAAGAGAGTTGATTTAAAGGAAAGTATCAAGTGCACTTCAGAATGGGTAGTACATAAACAGGGTACTGAGGGTAATGCGGAAATGGCTGAAGTTTGACAAAGACTTGTCAGGAAAATCAGGCCCTTCAGAAGTTACACAACATACTTAAAATTTCTGAACCCGTATCAGGCTCTTGTACTGTAAGATTAATGTTTCTTTAGGGCTCTCTATCAACCTGGCAACCATGATTAATTGTTTGCTGTTCCTGGGAGGTTACCTCTTTCCAGCCTCCATGCTTCTGCCCATGCTGTTGCTTCAGCTGGAATGCTTGGCTTCCTTTCTCTTCCTGTTCAAATCTTAGAGTCCTCCAAAGTTCACTCTAAGTGCTATCTTCTTCAGCAAGCCTTCCCCCATCCCCAGTCAGATGGATTCCTTTCACTTTCATAGTACCAATAGCACTTTCTCTCTCCACTGTGCTTTGTACCACAGTTTTGGTGATTTTATAGGTGTTCAAATAATTATGTTATTTCACTTAAATGTTAAGCTCTTTCAAGAGAGGGGAAGGAAGGCCATGAATTTCATTCATTTTTTTATACCACCATGGTACTTAACAAAGTGTCTCACATATGGAGTCAGCCCATAATTAATATTTGCTGAATTGAATTTAATATTTTAGGCAACATTCATGTGATACTTACAATCTTACGTTTGATCATAAAGAGTGGAATTTTTGCATGAAGAGGAGTTGAGGATAGTTCCTTATGGACCGTTGATAAATACAATCTTCGCTTGATGTTCCCTAAATCAGTAATTCTGAAAAAATAGGGAGAATCAATTTAATAACCACTTCTTTGGATAATCATCACAATGATGTAATTTATCATATACACCCTTTTTAACAGGAAGATCAAACATAGAATTTAAGAATTGCCTTTTTCTTTCAAGAAGTAATAAAATTTCTTCCTTAAATTCAAAGTGCTCAGAAGCCTGAATATATAAATTCACTTAATATGCTAATTTATTTCAGTACTCTACACTAGATTTCCACAGTCCTCTAGCCTATGAAAAAATTCAATTTGGATGAACAGAGAAACTGCTAGCCTTTAATAACCATACTTGTTCCGGCCCCTTAAGCTTGTGTTATCTTGGGACATACTGTCACCTACTAAATAGAAAAACATTATGGGTTTCTTTCCCTAAAAATGCATCTGTCATTTTATATAGGCTCTTAGTCTGCTTAGAGACAGACACCAAACACTGGCTGTCAGTTTCACTTCCTAAGCACATATCTTCCAACCAGAATTATAATACACAGCTTTATGGCTCACTATTCAGGTCAATCCACAGTGATACCAAGGACACTGAATTTGAACACCTTTAATAGATTTAGACCACGACCATGATCACGAAGATTAGGTTTGCTTCAAATTGATAGAGGCTTATTTTTATGTTCTGCTTCCTTTAGGTCTCAGAGGTAACACAGCAGGCTTAAAGTCTCCAAACCTGTCTCAGCCTGCTCTATTATAGAATTGATGCTTCTTTAAAAACTGTCTTTTTGAGAATGATTTTTCCCCATTATGAGGGGAAAAGTTTGTTTAGACATATTACACTGCTAATTTTCTATATTTTATAATCCCCCAAGAAGGCAACATTTCATTCAAATGCACTGTTGTCAATATTTATAATGTACTTAACTGTTTTTAAAATTGGCATTGTCTTTTCTATAGCACTTCCATTCCTCTGCCTTCCCACTTTTCTAATATCAGTATTGCTTCCCTCTAAAATACTCTACATATCTTTCAGTGAAAAAAACTATCATTAAATAATGTTAAGAATAAATACAGTAAAAATTAGGTGAGATGATTTCAGAGTACACCCCAGATCTAAAAATTCCACCCTACTTGCACTAAATGATATAAATTGATTTAAAAAGCAAAGTCTTTCAATCCATAGTCAGAGCTAATGTTTAAAATGCAGAAGTATTAACATTATTGCAGTATTATACCCGGATGTATATCCATATACGTAAACGTGGTATTGCATTTACCCTAAGGCAGTGTCTTCAGAGTGGGATGAACAAATGGGGAGGAGGAATGATATGCAACAGTTCACTGAAGTGCAGGAAGAAAACATTAGAAATTCCACCTCATCTTCTTAAAACATTATTTTTGTGCACATCTCATTTTCCAGTAGTATAGTAACATATTTATATATTTTCAAAATAAATGTCCCTATATGGCAAGTATGTACAAATATTTTACTAATGGGGTACATGAATCAAATGTGTTTGGAAAATCTTGTCATCTGGGATGCTATTAGGTCTCTTCTTCAAGTTCTGATTGAGAAATAAAAAGGAGGACTATGAGGATTCTAGAAAGTAAAAGGGAATAAAAAGAGGGACTGCATTAACCAAAAACTCATCCATCACAGTTTTATTAAAGGGTTACTGTGCTTTCATGAATAAAATGATTTTTTTTTTTTTTGAGATGGAGCTTTGCTCTTGTTGTCCAGGATGGAGTGCAATGGCGCAATAGTGGCTCACTGCAATTTCTGCCTCCCAGGTTCAAGTGATTTGCCTGCCCCAGCTTCCTGAGTACCTGTGATTACAGGCACCTGCCACCACACCCAGCTAATTTTTGTATTTTTAGTAGAGATGGAGTTTCACCATGTTGGCCAAGCTGGTCTAGAACTCCTGACCTCAGATGATCCGCTCGCCTCGGCCTCCCAACATGCTGGGATTACAGACGTGAGACACTGTGCCCAGCCAAACTACATATTTTTAGTCTAAATAGTTAAGAATCAAACTCCAAACAGAAGAATAATTGAGTATACTATCACGTCATGTGGAACTACAGGAACATTCATTCATTTGTTCACATATTCAACAAAGACTGAGCCAGGAAAACTGCTGGGAGACATCAGGGAGACAGTGATGAAAAAGACAAAGTTCCTATCCTTCTGGAGCCTCTATTCTTGAGCAAAAGGCAGGTGAATTTTCACGAAATACACATTACCATTATTTATACTAGTGCTTTCTGTGTCCTAAAGAATCCTTACCTAGGCCAAAGTTGCACAAAATACTTTCCTATGTTTCCTTCTACATCTTTATAGTTTGTTTTTACATTTAGTACATACCAAATCAGTTTCTGTAAGTTGTGTGACATAGCGGGTGGAGTTCTTTTCTTTCTGTGTTTATCCAATTGTCTCAGCACCATTTATTAAAGATTATCGTTTCTTCACTGAAATGCCTTGGTATTTTATTGAAAATCAGCTGATCATAAACATATGTGTGTGAGGTTGTATTTCTGGACTGTCCATTGATTCTTTTTTTTTTTTTTTCCATTA